AACTTCCCTTCCCTTGCCATCCACTATGCCATAATCTAAAATCTAACTCTTTATTTAAACTTCCCCCCCCCTTGCCTTCCACTATGCCATGATCTGAAACCTAACTCTTTATTGAAACTACCCCCCCCTTGCCTTCCACTATGCCATGATCTAAAATCTAATTCTTGATTTAAACTTCCCCCCCTTGCCTTCCACAATGCCATGATCTAAATTCTAACTCTTTATTTAAACTTTCCCCCCAAGGCTTCAACGCTCGAAGCCGCCTTAAGGTACCTTAAGGAGGCTTGAAGGGCTTTGAATTCGTCCAAACCCGCTTAAGGTATCTTGGAAGTCTTCGGCGAAGACCCCCTTAAGGTACTTTTGTCGAAGCCCCCTGAAGGTACCTTCGAAAATTTCGACGCCGCCTTAAGGTACCTTCTCGAAGGTCAACTACTCACTTGCGTCTCCAAAATTTTCTCACTTGCGCCGCCTGATCACTTGCGCCTCAAACTACTGACTTGCGCCTCCAATATTCACTTGCGCCCCCCAGCCTACTCACTTGCGCCCCCCCTCCCTGCCTTCCACAATGCCATGATCTAAATTCTAAGTTTTTATTTAAACTTCCCCCCCCTTGCCTTCCACAATGCCATGGTCTAAATTCTATGTTTTTATTTAAACTGCCCCCCCTTGCCTTCCACAATGCCATGATCTAAATCTAACTCTTTCTTTAAACTTCCCCCCCTTGCCTTCCACAATGCCATGATCTACATTCTAAGTCTTTATTTAAACTTTTGGCTTTCCACGGTGCCATGATCTAAACTCGAACTCTTTATTTGAACTTCCCCCCGCTTTGCCTTCCACAATGCCATGATCCAAAATCGAATTCTTTATTTAAACTTCTCCCCCCTTGCCTTCCACAATGCCATGATCTAAAATCTAACTCTTTATTTAAACTTCCCTTCCCTTGCCTTCCACAATGCCATGATCTAAAATCGAATTCTTTATTTAAACTTTTCCCCCCCTTGCCTTCCACAATGCCATGATCTAATTGAACATCGAGTACGTGGACGATTGGGATCCAGACACACAGTCCCTACGTCAGTACAGAGTTTTAGCAAACCCGGAGGAGGCAGAATCTGGCGAAGAGAGAGTACTTCAAAGAAACAACCAATGGCCTAGCAAGATTTGTCAGGCCTCATGCCTTTGTTCGGCAGCGTCTCAATGTGGAGGAGCTCGATCCTTTAGAGATGAGCATGGTAGATTTGTGAGAAGAGTTTGAAGAAGAAGAGAAAGAAGATGATCCAATGGAGATTGACTACACGGTCCCTGCACTATCTCAACCAGCAGTACCAGGCATTGGAGCTCAGACCCGCGATGATCCACAGCGCGAGACTTCAAGTTCAGTGACCCCAGAGCGTGTTAGCTTGCCAAGATCACCGAGATCAATTCCTAACAGTCTGCCTGAGATTCCTCAGCTTGGATTGGACTGGAACGAGATGGATGTGATTGAAGCGCACTATCCAGCGGCTGAGCGATTGCGAGTGCAGCGGGTGAGAGAGGTTAATTTGTTTTCCTCAGAACAAATCCTGAGGGAGTACATGAAGATGCATCTCATGAACTTGTTTCCCAATCAACCAGATTTGATTTGGGATTATCCCATGTTTTGGAGTCAACGTGAACTTCATGGGTATCAAGTTTTCAGAGAAATCGTCGTGGATGGTAAATATCAAAATAGCTGGGGATCATTTGTCGAGCAATGGTTTGTGCACATAGATGCACCAATTTACCACCATGATGACTAGCTGAAAGATACGATTTCAGCTGATGACATCACCGTGAAATCGAGGCGGGGTGTCAAATTCATTTGGAGATTTCAGCATGTCCGTACAGTTGAACTTACATATCTTGGTGCAAAACGCTACAATGGCTCTGATGTAAGGAAACCAGATCTCGAGGCGCACTCTGCTGCTTGCCTAACAATTTTGGAGCATCAGATCTTCAGGTTTGCCAAGATGATTTTGCGTGACAGGTGCAGCACTTCGAATGACCTGGCATCACTTTTTCGTGCCAGGCAAGGTACTTTAGACTTTAGACAGATGGAATGGAAAAATTACAAAACGCATTGGTACGAAACCATCCGCTCTGCACTCAACTTTCCATCTCAGAAGGAAGTCTCGCAGAATTGTTTCGTTTTTGATGTTGCCAACTTGAAAATTTGAGGAAGTCTCGCAGAATAGTTTCGTTTTTGACGGTGTCAAGCTCAGAAACTGAGGAAGCCTCGCAGAATTGCTGCTTTTTGATGTTGTCAAGTTCAAAAACTGAGGAAGTCATTCAGAATAGCTTCGTTTTCAAGCTTGCAGATTGCAGATAGACAGATAGACAGATAGATAGGTAGATAGACAACCACAACTGCAACTACACTACACTACTACAACTACAAATGCAAAAAACAACTACGCTACATTACCCTACACAAATTGCACTACACTACACTAATTACATCTAGTTACACTCCACTACATTACACTAATTAGACTACAACGACAGCAACTATCACTACCACAGCTACAACTACAATTACAACTAGACCACGTTACACTACACTGCACTAATTACAGTGCAGTACACTACAACAAATACAAATGCAACTACAACTACATTAACATTACACAACACTACACTACATTAATTACATTGCATTGCATTACATTACATTACATTACGTTACATTGCATTACATTACATTATATACATTGCATTACGTTACATTACACTAGAGCAACAGCTACAACTGCAACTGCAATTGCAACTACCACTGAATTGCACTACACGACACTACACTAGTTACATTACACTACACTACAACTACAACTACACTACCTCACAGAACGCTACATTAGACTACACTACACACCACCGCGCTACAGTACACAACGCTACAGTACACTACACTAATTACACCATACCACAACTACAACTGCAACTGCCAGTGTGACAACACTACACTAATTACACAACATTACAGCTACAACTCCACTATGCTACACTACACTACACTACCCTACACTACCCTACACTACAACTACAACTACAGCTACAACTGCGCTACACCACGCTACATCCACCAGTTGTGGTGAGGTGACCGCTGCAAACATTGCGACCACTCCAAGAAACACAACTCCAACCACCCTTCGGTCCATCAGTGGATTCGCTCTGCAATCCGTCACTCACAACAACCAACCTCTCCTAAAGGTTTCCTATTTTTGAAACTTCCGCCGCCGCCTTCTGCGGTACTACTGGCAATATATAGTACCACAACAATTTCACAGACAATGAATTGGTCATGTCATGTTTGAAATTCAACGTTGTCCAAGGTTGCATCTAGGTTTGTCCCAACAACATAAAATTCCATCGTCCATGAAACCAAACTTGAACATTGTGCAAACATGTTTGTTCTTTTGCTCATGCCAACCATTCATAATTGAGTCATTGAGTGTGGGATGGAATGATGTTTGTGCAAATTAAGATAAGTACGTGTTTCTTTTTGATTGGAACAATTCGTTAAGGAACCAAACAGTGTAATCGCGTTGCTGTTTGGCATTGAAACACAACACATACTTGGTGGAAAAACAAAACCGCCAATTCTGCATTTTTGTTCAAATTCGAAGCCTAAATTACAGAACATTTTTGTGTCAATTGCCAGTTGTTTGATTTCGGGGTAAACTCGTGCAAACGAACACAAACTTATTCATACTCTGTTGCGCTCCCATTTTCCAGCTGGGGCCATTCAGAGCTTTGGAGGTGTGAACTGAATGCATTGGACATTTTGGAAAGGGCTGTAATCTATTCGATCTATTGCCACATTCTGGATGGCCTAGGTGGTCGACAATTTCAATGAAATGTAGAAGGAAAATATGGACAAAAATTGGGCGCAAAACAGCAGAAAAGGTGTCAAACCGGCAAAAAAAAATCAAATGGGTGCACACAAAAATTACCAATTTTTGCGAATATAGCAAGTTTATTTACAGAGCATATGGTATGCATTCATGAATTAGGTTGCTTCCGATGGACCAAGAGAGGGAATGAAAATTGAAAACCAAACCTGTACAATGATGTTTGGAATTTATGAATGGCTGTAGTAAAAAAAACAATGTACAAAATGAGATGGGAAGGTGCAAACACCACTTTGGGCAATATTTCTTGCCCGTCTGCGGGGTCACGAGGTGACCACTTTGGATCTACATTCGTCCCACCATGTCCCACCACGCAAAAAAAACCAAGTCAACATCATGCGGCATTGCAAACCATGGCAGGATCGATTGCGCTACACATTTTTTGTCAAATTCATCAAATTAAAACCCCACTTTGAAATCCAGCGAACACCTTGCATGGGTTGTTTTGTGCTGCCACTTTGCCCAGAGTCATTCCTGTACATAACCAGACTGGTCGTGTTTTGTAGCTTAGTTGGGTTTTTCTTATGCCTCAATGATGCTTTTAAGGAATGGGTCCAGATGGTGCTGCAGATGGACTTTTTCTTTTGCCAATTTGATGATTCCAATAACTAGTGTTCTCATAAACATACAACTTCAGCCACGATGCACAAAACTTCGGAGAGTATATATTCGTTTCACGAAATGTCCGGAGCCATGAAAGTTCCAACAGGTCTTCCCTTGGAAGCCTTTGTGTCTTGGCCAATTTGGACAGCAAACGCACAATGAAAATTGAATACAATCTACTTCTCGTACAACATCGGCCGTACTGCCCAACCTATAATTAGTTAGTTCGGTTCAGACTTTGCCAATTTTGATTTTGTCTGCCTTGAGGACAGTCCGATGGACTTTGAGGTACATACACCTGAGGCGGATTGGACTTATTTTGCCAAGATGAATCACCCATTGCCAGTTGCCACGACACATTTTTCACGGTTGGTGCTAGAAATGAGGTCAGCTAAAGGATTCTATGTTTGATTTTTTTTGCCTGGAAACAATGCAGACTCTGATGATGCAAAGGAGTGGCTTAAGATGTGCCACGGCCCCACTTCTGGGAAACCCCAAGTCTGAAGCTGAAATTTGTGAACACGATAGCGAAGGGCAATATCGAGTTGCAGCATATGGCGATATGATTGCGCTAGGCTCCATTTTGCAATGGTGTGGTTGTGTTGTTTGGAATATGTTGAACGTTCTCCATTCAATTGAAATGAGTGCGTCCAGCCAGTATCATAGTTGTTTGTGTTTGTTTAAGATTGCTCACGATTCACATTCAAGTGTCTAAATTGTCTAAATGATTTGCACTCGGCTGCTCGGACTTGTTAAAGTCGTAAAAGTCTTGTTTTGAGGCATCGGTGCTGCACTACATCGCGCGAGAATGGCGAATGCTTCCGTGCTGGGTTTTGGGCTATGAGGCCATCCAACATTCGAAAGCACCTGGCGCACCTGGCGCACCTTGCCCACACAGAGCCTGTTTTGAGGCATCCAACTCCAGATATTTGGTCGAGTTGGAGGATGGAAGCCAAAAACAAGCTACAGTCTCAGTACATCTCAGTACCATGCTACTTCCATCTACTTTCTCCTACTTTCATCTACTTTGGCCATGATTGGCCATAGCATGCCATAGCAATACTATTGACACTTGAATATTCATTTGAGGTCAAACGACTAGCTCTTCGGTTCAATGCTGAAGATCCTCAGAACTTTGCCTTGCGGGCGAAGAGCTGAGACTCTTTGACTGAAGTTGATCTCTGGACTTTCAACTGAACTCTTCAGAACTCTGCAGAACTCTTTGACTGAAGAATTCTGACCTCTTCAAAATAAATCCATAAATCCATCCAGGGTGGATCTAGTATGATCTAGTGTTGGTTTTAGGTGTATGTCTCAAATCGATGGTTTGTCCGGTTCCGTGGAAGCGAAGACCAGGTGGAGACCTGTCGTGCAAAAAAAGCACATTGTGAGCTACAACAGGCGGACTGTGAGTGTTGACAGGAACTATTCGGTGCAATGTGAGAGCTGTCAGGCAGTCCACAGAGACCAAAGAGTTGTTTTTCGTGGAGTTGGGAGAGTGACTGGATACAGATGGTACAGCCGGGTGCAGCTTATTGATGGAAGGCCTTCATCAAGTTCATTGAGTCGCAACCGGATGAGTTGGTCGGTGGCTCAAAGAGCAGCCCCTATGTAGACTACGTGGGCAGACTGTAGGCACACATTTCTGTTCCTTCATGATCTTCACGCTGGTGTTTCGTCTTGACAGGTCTCACCGCTTCGTAGAGAGCAAAAAGAAAGGTTTATCCGACAAGGCGAACCATGGCAAAGCACGATGAAGCGTGGCGAAGCTGCCAAGTGATGCCAAGTGATGCTTCGTGATGCTGAGTCATGAAGTGTTGTCTGAACTGTGCTGAATCATGTTGGAACTGTCGGAACCGTTTGAACCATGTTTGAACCGCTTGTAATCTGTATTCCTCGTGTCCAGCCTACCTATTGATCCTATTGGGCGTCCTGTTCAGGCCTTCACAGAAGTCACTTGGAAGACTCGAACAGCTTTGTTGGCCGTTGGCCCAGTTTGCCCAGTTTGCCCAGTGAGATCTACGCCATGATTATCTTCTCACTGCACGAACACACGAGAAGGCTTAGGTCTCTTCAAGTCTTTGGAGAATCTCAAAACGTCAAATCTGCAGCCTGTGGCAGCTCAGTTGTGTGGTGTTAGGACATATCCGTGACCTCATCCGGGAGATCGAAGAGTACGCCCAATGCATGTGATTGACAGACTGCACTTGAAATTGTCACTAGAGGATTTATTTGAGGTGAAGGAAAATAAGCCTGCTGATGGGTATTTATGTTGTCTTCAGGAGGTATATCACACTTGTTCCCCATAAGTTGAGCATTTCTGCACTTGAATCCTGCTTGGAATCCCAAGTGTTTCAGTCCCTCCAGGAACTATGTCCTGTCAATGAAATTTGTCGCTTGGCTAATAATCGGCTAATATCTCGGATCTTCTGGAGTGATCGAGGTGTCCTGTCAAGGGTGCTGCAGAGTCATCACAACACGTTGTAGATCGAGGTACAAAGAGTCTTTTTTTGACCACAGTGTCCCACTGTGAGCAAGCCAACAGTTCTTTGTACCACAGCAAATGAATTCTGCACGGAAGCATGTTTGCAAGCGGTTGCCCAACACCTTCCTAACCAGCAATTCAATTCCTCGAGCTTGCGACAGACTGTGGCATGCTTACAATAGCAACCCAGGATTGCATGCATACTTGAACAAGTTTGAGGCAAAGCCATGAATGCACATGTGTACAACCGCATGTAAATCCATACATGTGTATTATACATTTTTATGTTATTATAAGTACAGCTAATTCTACACGATATGATTTCATATGATTTCTGCATATCAGTTTTGCTAAGTGCGATTTCGATCTTGATATGGGTTGAGAAACTTGCATACCATGGAGGTCAGACATTATCGGCTGTCATCTTCATTCATGGTTTGGTTGCCGGTTTTTGAGCTAACATCGATCACGCCGGCAAGGCAAAAAAGGTTGCTCTGACTCTCAGGCGTTTTGCTCCCCGTCTTGTTTAGCTACCTGATCGCTGAGGCAAAAGTAAAGAATGACCTGATTCTAGAGATGGGCACTCCGTGCTGAGCTCAGCCGGGCTGGGAGCGGTTGTGAGCTGGTCCCCTGATATCTCCGATCGTGATCGATCTTGCAGGTATGCCTGTGTTCGAGACGACACGCCTTTTGCACCATTGTCCACATCTCGGAATAGTTTTCCAACTTTTTTCTGAAGACAGATGATTTCAGCAGTCTTGCTGCTCTGTCCTGACTTAGTCAACTTGCTCTGACTCTTGAGACCTGCGCAAAGGTTGGGCAACTTCCTGCCTTGCAAGGCGCCACAGTATGGCTTGGTGGCGCACCAGGTGCACCATGAAATGCGCATGCTGTCCGATGTTGTTGACTTTTTTTGCTTCATATCAAATATATCAGTATGAGAAGATGCTTTCAACTCGGTTTTTGCAATTTCTGCTCCGAGGGCCGAAGTGGTAAGCTATATTTTGCGACTGTAGGCCTCTGAGCAATCTGTGCTGGAGATAGCAACTCATCTGGTCCAGCAGCCCACCATCTCCAGAAATGTCAACGTGCCTGGCTCAGAGGAGCAAGAAGCATGTTTTCCATAGTTTTTCAATAGTTTTTCCATAGTTTCCCTGTCATGTGACGAGACCCAGAGGTTCGTTTTGTGCTTTGCGTTCTCATTTGGAGTACTCTCTGGACATTCCTGGGCCTGGTGAACTCACGAATCTCCACCTTGCTGACATACACCTTGATGTCCCTGCAAGCTGATGACAGATCCAATTAACGTAATCAACAACATAATTTCATAATCCTCTGCATAGAAACAGTGTTATCCGTGCTGCACAGACTTTCACAATCCAAGACCAAATGGAAGTACTACACTTACTCCACCAAGTCTCCGTGAGGCAGCATAGTGCACACAAGTCGTCAGACAACACACGACAACACACGAGTCCATCGAGTCAAACAGCGGGCGAAACCTCCAAGATTCCTTGTGAACTGGGAAGATAGCATAGCAGTGCTGGTGGAAAGGGCCAGTTCTACACTGCTGACACTGCTGACACCGGTGACACTGCTGGCCGAAGAGCTGCCATGGCCATGACTGCTCCGTGGAATGCGAATGTCAGCTGAGTGTGTTTCTCGATTTGCACCGAGTTGATTCGTAGAGAAAATCTTAATGCAAAAGCGAGGGAAGAGACAAGCGGAGAGCAGAGAGATGCAGAGAGATGCTCTCTGAGCATCATTGCTTCCCATGGCTTCATTGAGCAATACGCAGCCTGCAGCATGATGCAGCTAATGCAGCCATCTTAGCTGAGGCCTTTCCTACATCCCGACATGCCTGGCGGCAGATTTTCCTGCTTTTACTTGGAACATGGATGGCATTATGCGGTGGTAGCCTCTATGCTTTTTCCAGGTGGCTTGAAGTCATACCTTTTGCAAGCAATTGGATGCAATCAACACCAATGCAGTGCAATTTCTTCATGTTGTATATCTGATATATTGTATGAAATTTGGTGAGCTCTGGTTGTTCATCATCTTGGCAGGTTCGAGGTGCAAATCATGAGCCACTGCAGCCTCTCTGCGCAACATTTGGATGTCATATATGCAGCTGGCCAGGTGCGTAGCCCTACTTAGAAGGACAGAGATTGATGCCAGAAATCCAGTTTTCATTCCACTTTTCTTGAGATTTCAAGCACTACGGGTCGCAATGCATCAGCCTTGTGAAATCAAGCTGACTTTGCTGGATTTTGTTGGTCTTATTTTGCACAGGCAGGTGTTGGTTTGGGCATCATTCCTGGCACTTTATATGATCTCCGTGGTCCTGTTGGAGCATGCCTCTATGGACGCTTGTCTAGCCTTGCACAGAGTTGTGAGACATGAGATGGATGACATGGTGATGCGATGCAGTTAAGGTGCCATTTTCACAGCAGCCGGAAACTTTGGCATGGCTCTGATGCTTCAGAAAGATGGATGTGGCGGTGTCTCCACACTGGCATTTTGGTACTTCCTTGTGCAACAGGTGCCCAAGAGGAATGATCAGTGATCGAACACAGTGAATCTTTGACAGATCTGACCAAATTGTGGCCTTGCACTTCTGCCCCGACTCTAGTGATAGTGAAACACGCAAAGTTCAATGATGACATTCCAAAGTTCAGTTGATTTCTGGATATTCATGTAATTTCTGGCGTCCTTCTTTCAAGGGCTCCGTGGCAATATTCCAAGCTGGCCTATTTTCAAACATCGCCCATTGCCCCGCCAAAGCTGCAGGCGGGGAACTTGAAAAACTGTGGAGTTTTGACTTTTACACTTTACACAGTATATCTAGCTATCTAGCTATCTAGCTATCTAGCTGTCTATCTATCTATCTATCTATCTAATTATCTAATCTATCTATCTATCTATCTATCCATCCATCCATCCATCCATCTATCTATCTACTTATCTAATCTATCTATCTATCTATCCATCCATCCATCCATCCATCTATCTATCTATCTATAAATACTGTAATTAATATACATATAATAGATATACAGGAAAAATTGGCACTTAAGTGCAAAAGGCATTGTTTTCTGTATCAATTCCTTGTTCGATGTGTAACAAGTGTACTGTGAGCAAGCAACATAATACCAAGAGCACACAAGCGGAAACTGCTGCTACTCACATCGTCTGTTTGTGCAGGGAGTTATCACGGGCATTGTTTCATCTGGCTATGGTCTTTCCGCTGCTTTTGTGACGCTCTTGTTCTCCCTCTTTGGAGATGATGCTCGGGCAGAGATTAGGTACTACAAGAGCTGGACGAGACGAACTCATAAATGGATAGAAATGGAAGACATTCGTTGTTGCCACTCATTAAAGAGACTGTAAGCCTTTTTTAATGTCTTGTGAGCGGTGGATAGTTACTGTGTGCTGTGACACTGCCAAGGACCTTGAAAGATACTTCAAAGGCACAGGCCTTCTGTTCTGTATAACAGCGCTGGGTGCAGCAATCCTGATGCCGTTTCTTGGTATTTTATCTTCAGGCCAGACTCAGATAGATTGTGCATTGTCAACTCAAAGCATCAAAGAGAATCAGATGCCTTGCTCAAGAGATCTTGTGAACATTTGTGAACGATGATTTTGCTGGATTCTGCTGGATTCTTTGAGGTTTTTGCACATGAGATCGCGGTCGACTAAGTATGGCCGATTGCCAGAGGTGACACCGAAGGATGAGGCTGGGATTTATCCCCCACCAACAAAGCAACTTGCCTGCACGTCTCAAGATTTTCTGGTCTTTCATTGGCAAGCAATGTCACATTCTACAACAAAACTGATCAAAACTGATGGGGCCAGCAAATTCACTGGTTGAGGTTTTTGTTTTGCCTAAGCAGCATCAGTTTGATGCCTGCTGTGCTAGTGGAAGGTATGGGCAACAGGACCCAGATGAACCTGCAGCTGCTGGTACTCCTAGTTCGAAATCCACACCACATATGAGCCGCAAGGATATTTTGACACTTGAAAGCATGGGTTATCCTACAAACTCGATCAAACTCGGCCATTGAACGTGTGATCATGCGGGGATTTGGGTTTCTGGCAGGTACACTCCATGTCTTTACGACTGTATATGACGTTTGATTTTCCTGTATGATAGTCAAACACATGGTTAAAGCAAAACTTGGAGAGATATTTCATTTGCTACACGATTAGCACAAACAAGGTTGTGAATATGTGTTTGAAATTGATTATATAGTCAGACAAAATGACAACACGATCTTATTCTTCGATTCTACTCTCTAGACAGTGGGAAAAATTGATTAGTGTGAGATTTAGAAAAGTCACTGAACTGCAAGGACCTGCACCTATGATAGATATTTTTACTTGCAATCACGGGACAATTGGTACAGTTGGTTTTTGCATGACTAGCTGTTGTCAAGATTACACGAGATGGTAAAGCTTTTCTTGATCCTGAGCCCAAGCAATCAGGAGTTCCTGCTTTATGCCGCTGATATTGAACAACAAACAGTTGATATTTTTCTTGAAGTGACTTTCACAAGTGGATCCTGGATCTATAATATGAATAATATATGAATACAATTGTTTTGCCAAGGGCCGTGTGTCTTGTACTTGGCACGATCTGACGTGGAGTCGGTTGTCATTCACTGAGCTCATCCATTGTCAGCGCTGAGGTGTAGATTTGACTTCTGGCTGTTTCTTCTGTCATTTGTACTCCTGTATCTGGGCAAAAAACAGAAGTTCATCTTAGTACATTTTAGCAATATTTTAGCATATTTTAGCATTGTTATTGTGAGTTCAAGGCCAGGTTTCCAGCAGCTGTCCCTTGGTAGCTGGCTCAAATTGATTTTGTGGTTTCAAAGTGAACACTCGCTCAGGCAATCCATCGGCTCCGGTCTCTACATTGCCAACTTGTCCTTGTGACTCGCTTGAACTTACTCGAGAAAAATCCATTCAAGAGCCAATTTGGAGATCCATTCTGCCACCTGCACAAGATCAAGCAGATTTTTCATTTGCACAGATGCTTTCTTGATGTTCCTTGCAGATCCTTGCAGGATAGGAGACTCCTTGGGTATCTCTGCTGACAGCCGTCCGACTTATGTGCGAGCTGTGCCGCTTAGCTACCATGCAGTGTGACTCAAGAGCTGTTTCAAGTTTGAAAGCCACAGTTTTTTCAAAATTTCAGGCAATTTTTTCTCTAGGTCGTATTGCAATTCCCTGGGCCGGCTTGGCATCGGCTTTGCCATGGATGCACTGGAAGTCAGAGGCCTTTGCATTTTGAGGTGATGTTTGATCCATTGTGATTCTAATTTTTGTTGATTGCAACTCTTTCTGATCAGGTCTTTGGAGCATCAAACGACTGCGTGTTTTGCAAATTCTCAGGAGTTCATCGCTCTGACCATATCCTCATCACAGCGTTTGGAGTGCTGCTGGCATCATCTGCGCTCTTATTCCTGCCAGAGGAGGCCCTACATGGCATCGTGAGGAAACTGTTGGTATCAACACAGTATTGTGTGCTCCACAACAGTTCGGACATGTTCGAACAAGACTGCAGTGGAATCAGTTCCTAAGCGCTCGTTTGGACACGTTCCGATGCAGTTTCGAATGTGAGACTGAGCCCAAGTGTTTGTTGAGGTGATGCCGCATGCACTCCTTCCTGCTCTAGCAGTGACAGCTGCAGCATATGGTGCAAATTGGGCTTCTTGAATGACGTTCATTTAGCTGGGGGAGGTGTACTGCAGTGCAGTGTTTACAATGGGGAGATTTGCTGCCACCAACATGACCCTTACATTGGAACTGACCCTAACCGGAGCCTGCCGATATCCGAAGTCGGCGTGGCTCCTTTGGTGTCTATTCCCTGTGCATGATGCAATGTTATGAACGTGAAACTAGGTAACGACATGCAGAGGCAAGTCGCCCCTGGCTGCCTTGATTTACTTGTTGGAAAGCTGAATTTCAAATGTTTGTGTCAGGTAGTGTCACTTTGAGTCCAAGGCTATCATGCCTTCATTCATCGCGAAACGATTTCAAGGGGCACATGCTTCTTGGCAAATTGGTCAGGCTGTTCGATGGAAAGACTTCTGCACATGGTTGAACGAAACAGCTGCACCGGTGTCATCGGTGTCATCAACTCAAACGAAGTGGGTTGGGCTGGGGGATACGCTAGCGAGCAGACCTTAGACCCTTTGAGGTCGGAGTGATGTTCAACATTCATAGCGGCCACATTGCTCTTACAGTGCTGCTGACCTCATATGTTGTCACTCTGCCTGACATAGACTTTACTTTATTCAGTTGGAGTTGACAGATTTTGCCTGATTTTGCTGTGTGCTTGTGGTCCAGTAGGAAGAACACTCTGGGGACCTCAGCTTCGTGTGTTCCTTTTTTCTTGGACAATATTTTCTTGGAACAGGTGGGTGGCCTGTACGATGTTGAGGCAGCCCGGCAGGGGGAAGGCTGGACAATACGTTTGTGTATGCTGGAGGTTGAAGCCAGTCACATGGACATGTCTTTCCCGGCATGTCCATAGCTTGTCTTGCACATCTCGCCGTGAAATCCTGTCATCTCTCCTGTGCAGCTCCTGCAGATGCCTTCTGTCATGGTGCTGTTTGCTGGCGCTCGTCATTTGGATTGGGAGCTGGCCTGCAAGCTTTGGCCCTTTTGGTGGGTCTTGTTCTGGCGTTGGGCACTCAATGGTCAACTTGATCAGCCAAGTAGTCGTCAGATCAGCTTTTGCAGAGTCACGGTGGAGCGCCTCGACTGCTTCGAATCTCCATTTCAGGTGGGTAGTGCGACACTGCAGCAGCCTGAATCGTGCCAAGTAAAGTGATGGACTTGATGGAGCAAAGTGAGGCAGAAAGGAGGCACCAAACTGCGAAGCAGAATATTGGTTGTCTCGGTTGTACATATGAACTGGATCACAAACTCCAATACGGAGTTTCCTGCGGTCTTAGTCTTGTCAAATTGTACTTGATTAAAACGTCCGTGATCCTGGCAGCTCTTGCGGTTTCCCACCAGGAGATGGTTTGACTAATCGAAGCTTGAAGTCAGCTTACCAGAGGTACCAGATACTTTGCTCCAAATGAGATTTGAGCCCAGAGGTTGTGACCATGGCGGTTTGGCGTCGTTTCGGTGAGGAGGCTTCGATTATATCAAATTGATTCAAATCGTATCTCCTCTTATTGATCAAGTTGAATGATGTTGAATGTGATCGGCCGCAGATTGACCGGCATCGCATCCTCGACACAATGCCCTCTGGAAAAGTGGGAGATCGTGGCAGTAGTGCAACCGGTCGTGGAATAAGCGGCCAGGACAGTCCCGATGAGTCTTTGTGATGTTATTGATCCTGCAAGCTCAAGTGATGAACAAGTTGAACTAGTCTATGAGAATGTGACTTGCATTCTGCACTCATAATAAAAATCATTTGTCCTGACGGGGCATAGTGTCCTTCTTCGAAGACTGTTTGTTGGCTGTTAGGCTGTTACACACGGATGCACCAGGACTTTCGAACGCGAACGTTCGCACCCACAGACTTCATTTTGCATATGGAGGAGCACAGAAAGGTGGATGCCTCAGCGATGTGGCATTTTGCATCGATAGATGGCATTGAAAAGAGCCGAGGATGTAGCAGTTATCCTGGAACGCCATTGGCGAGACTATATCGTTTCAGAGGCAAGACATAACCGCGTCAACGTTTGCTTACGTGTGATAATCCTTCTGGATCTACGCACCAAAGTGAGTGGTAGAAAAGTTGAAACCTACTTGCTTGGAGCTTTTGATTCTTCGCTCACTCACCTCATCCATGTAAACATAGACATAGACGTACAGTTTGACTGTATTCATGGATAGATTGTTTTGTCTTGGTTGAATTGTGTCGTCACAAATGAGCCATCCAGTGATTTTCTTGTTTGTGCACTCCTGGTGCCTGCTGCGGTTTCCTAGTATCCTCTTGACAGGTCCTCGACAAAATGTCTGAAGTTAACAATTTCTTTATCGAGAATCCGCAGAAGCACCTCAGGCAATTGAACTGCTTTCGCATATTCAGCACATGTTGCTTTCCAGAAGAACAGAAATTTGGATTATTGCCCACAGGTCTTGTGCTAACTTGCTAGATTGCTGCAGTTGTGAGCTGATGTTGTTGACAGGCAACCTTTGCACAGAATTCTGCGGAAGTCATTGGCCCAGAGCCTTCTGATATTTCCTTTCGCTTGTTTATCAATGCAGACTCTACATATTCTACATCCAGAAATCATCCAGGAACAGTCAATGACTTGCGGACGTCTGTCGGGAAGAGTGCAGGTTTGACTTGATCCTCTCGGCGCAGATGAGATGGTTTGTTCAGATGTCTCTGACCGATTGGGCACGGGCCCCACGGGCCCCACTGGCCCCAGCGATGGAAGCAGAAACGATCGGATCTGGTTGGCTCGAGTTGAATTGCTAGTGGTATCTTGTTGTGTGGGTTTGATGTGGGTCGATACCATTTTTGCAATAGTCCTCATATTCGAAAAATGAAGGAGTGCTTTTTTGGGCTATAACAGGCTGACATGCATCTTTAACATTTTGACTCCGATAAATTTGCCCTCTTGCTAAGAGCTTGCCACTCCGCTTCTCAAGCAAAGTGACCTCTGCTTCTATGTTGGCTTCCTTATCTCTCAGATTTTGATGATTCTTCCACTCCAAGTGCATTCATGACTTGCTCCCTTCTAAAATCCTGCCAAGGTTGCCTTTGTGCGTTCGTTTATGCCGGATGATGAGCCGCTTCAGTGTTTCTGGCCTGTGACTTGCAAACATTGCTGTGATGCTTGCTGAATGTTTTCCAAGACCAATATGAACACAATAAGATAACACAAGCTTACAGCCTTGACTTGGTTGGCAGAGAATTGTAGTGACCCCCTCGTTTTCATGCTTTGTCGGTTTGCTTTACCGTGTCTTGACAGGACACCCCTGCTTACGTTGAGCCTCGAGGCAACGCATGGGGAGGCTGGATGCGCTCCCTGAAATCTGTGTGCCAAAAGAAAAACCTCTCCACCTCTCCAGATTCTCCAGTCAATCTAAAGGTCGGAATTGCACCGCATCCAGAAGACCTGAAGCAGAAGATCCTCGATCTAATCGATGATGTGACAAAGGCTGGATAAACCCTGTCTGTGCAATCAGGCAAAAAGAGCAACAAATTTACAATATTTTACAATAATCCTCCAGCCTCATATTGAATCACTGCGATTGCTCGAGCAAGTGTCGACCACAGGTCACATCTTCCATCATGAGCATCGAGTATGAGGAGAGGCTGCTTTACGACTGGCAGTGATTTCTTACATGCAACAATTTATACATATTTATACAATTTCATACTAGTAGTAGGGATAATTTGGTCCAACCGCGATCATTCTGAATGATTCTGAATCTATGGAACATGTCAGTTGGTGCCTTTTTGCAACCTCCCGCAGCACTTGATGTTTGAGCTGAGACCTCAGTGCAAATCTTGCGAGATAATGATTTCTGTCCATTTTCGTACAGAGGGCAAAAATGGATGGTTTATATGGAAAATCCTGTAAAAATGGATGATTTGTACTGCATTTTTTAGGACATTCCTATCTTTGAACAGATCTTTCTTATTCTTTCCACCAGCTCTGTACCGAGTCTCCAATCAGAGGGAGCACGTCGTGATGAAGCTGACAAAAAGGAGGCATAGAAGGGATGCATTGCGGGGTAAAGTGCTGTCCTGATCTGATAGACGTCATCCTGAGCATCATGGCGTGGAGGCGTACATTTCCCTGGCAGTTTCATCACAATTTCATCATACCAAATTGACACACTGAAGCGTTGGTATGACAAGGGAAGAGCGGACTTATCATCCTCAACCTTTTATGCAAGAAGTTTTTCGGTCAGATTTCTGTTCAATACATTGGGGTCATTCCAAGCAGGTCGAAGCCAGATTGCTGGATAAGAATTATGGGGCATCAGCTTAAAGCTTTTGATGTCGACTGTTGGCTTGTGCAGTCCATTTGCAGTTGTTTTTGCACATTGTCAATGGGAATTTCAGGATCCTAAAATGGAGGTACCTACCATATATAAGGCCTATATAAGGCCTATGAAAGTGAATATCACCACAAAATATGGCCTTATATGGTACAGTACCTCCATTTTAGGATCCTGAAATTCCCATTGAGATTGGTTTCAAGAAAATCTGCATGAAACCTAGGATCCTCTCAAGCACAGACCTGTTAAAAGTGATGGGAACTTTCTCAAGACTATCTGGGCATCCTGTGCATCCCTCTTTAATTGGGAAGCTCATGAACATGCTATCTGTCAATGATGTTGAAGTGGGCAGGTTGAAGATGCTGCCCGTCTGGTGGGCGCACAAACGTTGCCGGGATCTTGTTAATTTCTTTCAACGATTTCAGAACCACAGAATTGAGCCACTGAGTTCCTTGACCTCTCTGGATGTCTGGTAAAATTGAGGCACTCAGGCCCTGTTGACGAAGGGCAACTTCTACGTGCTGCAAAGGCGAGTGAGAAAGTTGTGCGGTACAGCGTTCATGCCAGCGGTAGCCCACTGCGAACGGTTCCGACGGTTCCGGGTTTCGTCGCGGGTTGTTTTGCCACAGATTTCCAAGGCTGCAACAGCGGAGGTCATCGAGGACTGTCTCTTTGGTCCTCGAGAAGTCCAGGCAGAACTTGTGTGCAGAATTTTCATGACAAATGGCCTGGAGGCATACCTGGGTGTGCGACTAGTCATGAGATAAAACGCCTCCAGAATTTCTTGCGAGGCAAAGTACCAGAAATATGCATATCTATTTCACGAAGAGGCGGGCGGCCAAACGTGGGTTCCCAGAGGGTAGAAACATGTAGAAGCTGAAACAGAAACAAAATGACAGAATACGGACAGCATATTTTTGATCATTGTTTGTTTTTTTTTGCATTTGATCTGACAAAGTAACAATGGAGTGTCAATCAGATTTCTGAAACTATATATATATGTATATGTATATGTATATATATATATGTATATATATATATATGTATATATATATTATGTATATATATATGTATATATATGTATATATATATGTATATATATATATGTATATATATATACATACATATATACATATATACACTGGCAAGTTTTGGCACTTTTTCGCTTGATTCATCGACCAATGGTGTCTACTTGACCAGTTTGTTGTGTCGAGTTGTTATCACATAGGCTGTGGATCATTTGCCCCGTCCACATTTTCCACATTGTTTTGCAATGATTTGTTAACATCTGATGCATTGGCTCTTGGTGTCTGACAAAGTCTTAGCATGCATGGTTGCTTGATTAAAATCATTGAGTGGGTACAAACTTTTGTAGATCGATAGGTGACTGTGAGACTCACTACATCACTGATTCAAATACTGCATCAATTTACTGAGCTCGCCCACTCATCATGGACATACATAGTTCAATTAAATACAGTGAATTCACCATCATTTCATGCGGTTGGAAGCAACATCTGTATTCCGGAGGCTGGCAAAAGGAAAGAACTGTGGGACATGTTTTGTTTTTCAAAATGTCGAGGGTGAAACGAGCTTTTCTGACTCTCAAATGCTTTTTTTCTTGGTTCCTGCGCGGAGGGTGGATCTACTTCACACATGGGATTTTGCAAACTCGCTTCGATTGAACGGCCTTGGTTACCCGGAAACATGAAGGAAATAGCTCGCAAGCGCAGTAACGAATGCTCGAAAAGGCTGACAAGACAACCTTGATGAATCATGAGACGTTCCCAACTTGCGACTCAAAGGATCTCAAAGGGGTTGCCGCCGGTTGGGGTAATCTTTGTTGAACTGCTTTAGCCTTGAAAAAAGCAAGCCTTGGCTGATGCTTGTGTCAGAGGGCAGGATTTCTCGTCTCGCCGCTGACTCTCTCAGCAGCATAGATAAAGACTAGTGGCAGAGAAGAGGTGCAAGAACAGCCTCTTGTGTAGACAAATTTCCCTGATCGAAACATATCGAAACCCTTTTCCCGGCTCACAAGAATTTCTGTGGGGGCCGTTGGTTCCAAAGACATCATAAGTTCTGGCTAGCCTTTGAAAGGTTTCAAAACTTGCGACGCTTGTGGACTGACCTCTTGCATTTGGAAGTCTGCCAGGTTGGTGCCGACCTTGATCCGCTAGATGTCGAGTCTGTGCGAGTGTGGAGCTTTGTTTTCACAAGAACATCAAGCCTTAGCATGGACAGGTTCAAGTCTCACACAGAAACTTCTTCGAGTCAAATCCGACAGAGATATCCCCGGTTCCCCTACTTCAACCATGAGGTTCGAACAGAGGCTTACTTGCAGGCGTCGCCCAGATTTGCAAGTTTTTCGCTATTTCCAATGTTGACACGATGTAAAAGCAAAACCAGTGTTCTGGCACCCAGCTGTGTGTGCAGGCTGGGACGGAAATTGAGAAGCTTACCACCGAGATTGTGAAGTGCTCCCCCTTGGTCACAGATCAATGGCTTTCCAACTGCAAAAACTCTCATGGGGTCAGAGTTCTGATTTGAAAAAGGTTTCCACTCTTCGAGCTGCATTGTACGGACTGGCTTGTGGAATGGGTCAAGGGCAAGGGTTGAATCAGTTGAATCAGTTGAATCTGTATGTTTTCTCCTGCGATGATTTCTTGTTTACCGTCGCAGGACATCATTCAGCACATGTCGCAGCGTGCCTATCACCTTGCAGCCTGCTGCTTGGAGACCGTGGCGCAAAGCATTCAGGAGCTTGGTATTTACGTGGACTTGGCAGCTCATTTTGCACACACACACACATACACACTTGCACAGTCTTTTTGGCTGCTTTTGGCTCATGAAAAGCTTTAGACTGTCTAATGCAGCAGAGATGCCTTGCAGGAGCGCTCTCAAGCTGTGCTGAACGAATGGTTTGCTCCTCAAAGTCAGAATCATTTCCATAGATTTTCCGTTGCTTGCAAAAACGTGCATGAAAGTTTTGAGTCTTCTGGTGGAATATTGTTGTTTCAGGGAAGACAGTCAATCTGGTTGACGGTTTCCAGAAGCTGCCGTTATTTGGGCTTCTTTTTTTTTTTGCCAAAACCTCCAGCTTGGTCAACGCTAAAGGTCGTAGGCACTAACTAGCTTTGAATTAAAAGATATACACTCCTAAGGCCACGCTCACTTGTGAAAGTATAGAGAACAAGTTTCCAATTATTGCTAAGAGCCTTCACATTGATGATATTTCACATTGAGAGTAGTTCACACTGAAAGTGTCTCACACTGGAGAGCTTCACATTGAGAATAGTTCACACTGAGAGTCATTCACACTGAGTTTGAGCTGTGTAGTCTTCAACCGTTTCCTTTGTGAAAAGGGGGCTGGTAAAGATGGGCTTGTTCGATGATTCGTTCCCGTATCTCTCTGTTATATCTGTCGAATGGGATTTGGGGTGCCGATGGGTCTGTGTTTCTTATCACTTCCCATGCTTTTTGCATATTGTTACTGGTCCAAAACTGTCTGGGTCTTCCGACTCTTCGCATTTCAGTTTCTCTCGGGAGAGCGGATGTTGTTGAAAAAGTTGCTTGGTGAAGAGGGTGGTTTCTGTCTCTCCTGAGGATGTGTCCGAGTAATTTGAGTTTTCTTTCCTCCAAAATTTCGGTCAGAGGTTTGATTTTTCGATCGAAACCTGTAGTCGGCGCGTTAAGGGTTTCATTTGCCCTTCGGTATACGTATTCATTGGTGTTGTGGCGTTGTATGTATGTTGTGTGTAATTTCAGAATCTTTCGTAAGCCCTTGAGCTGGAACGTGTTAAGAAGACGTCCAGCTGACTCAGTTGGTTCCAAGGTTTCTAGGCCGTAGAGAACTTTGCTAGTAATTACTGCATTGAAAACGCGCAGTTTCCAAGATCTGTTGCATTGCGCTTTTCCCCAGAAAATGTCCAATTTTTTCAAAATGGCCATCGTAGCTGAGATTCGTCGTCTTATTTCATGTTTGGGATTGACCGTGCGAGTGATAGAAGCTCCTAAGTAAGTAGATTCATCGGTCGACTTCATGGGATCCCCATTTTGGAAAGCGATAGAACCGCGACAGTTGAAAGCAATGTAGCAACATTTTGACTTGTTTAGATTGAGGTCCAAATATTGGGATTCTTCTTCGATAAGGTGCAAGTATTGGTTAGCACTGGCAAAGCTTTTGGTCAGAATTAATGTGTCATCTGCGTACAGCAATTCGTGGAAATTAATTCCTTGGAAAGTTTTTGCGTAGCGTGGGTCGTTGAATCTGCGGTGAACATCATGAAATAGCACGTGCATTGTCACAATGAATAGGTATGGGCTGAGGGGACAGCCTTGCCTGATTCCAGTACGTTGGCTCAACCATGACGAAAATTTATCTCGGTGCATCACTTGAAACATCGGTTTCTGGTAAATAGCTTTTATGGCATCAAGGATTTCAACTGGAATACTCATTCTGTGGAGGGATTGGAACATTTTTTCATGACTAATTTTATCAAAAGCTTTTTCCCAGTCTAGGAAGATCAGAATTAATTTATCGTGACCTTGTTCTACGACGTCCGTGAGTCTTCTTAGGCAAAATAGTGGGTCAATAGTGGATCTGGATGCTCTGAAACCAAACTGCGTCGGACTGAGGTGTTCTTCAAGCGCCATAGCTAGTCTTGATTTCAAGATATAGGCGTAAATTTTGTATGAAACATTAAGCAAAGAAATTGGTCGGTAGTTTTCAGGATTTTCATGATCGCCCTTTTTGTACAAGCTTGCTATGTGAGCTTGGGTAAAATCATCTGGGACCAATTTTGCACGCCATAATGCATTTAAACAATTTGTAAGTGAGTCCACGTTGCTAGAGTCCAAATATTTGAAAAGTTCCACAATTGAACCGTCTGGCCCAGGCGCTTTATTTGTTTTCAGCCTGTGGATTGCTTCTGTGACTTCAGAGCTTTGGAAAATTCCGATTTCGGCCTGAATGTTTTGGAGGACCATGAGCTTAGTATTATCAATCGGCGTTGAAACTTCGTTTGGCCCCCAATGTTTGTAGTGAAGGTAATCGGCAAGCGCACTCGCTTTTTGAGAATTCGGGACTCGATTTCCATGGACGTCCTTCATGCTATAAAAATTCGGGGTGAAATTTGACTTTTCAAACTTTATGTTTTTCCAACATTCCCGACAGTCTGTGTGATCTTCTAATTTGTTGAGTTTCCATTGTTGTTTATCACGCTTCGCACTTTTAGACACTTCCTTATTGAGCCGGCTTTCTTCCACACAATCGCCATTTTCCCTAGCTTTTTGTCGTTCTTCTATTAGATTCCAGGTAGTCCCCGAGATGTAACTACGGTTTATCGCCTTATTTTTACGAGGCAAAATTCGTTCGGCAGCTTGCTTCATAGTTTGAACAAATTTGGCGACCCCATAGATGTGCTGGGATTCAGCACTGGCATTGAAACAATGGCGGATGGCGTCATTGTACTGTTGCTTTTGGCTTTCGGTTGGCTGATGAAATCGCACCACTGTAGTGGGCGCATTTTTAGGTTGAGCTTTCAGTTTTACCCGCAAATTAGCTGTCACAATGCTGTGGTCACTATTAAACGCAATATCTGTTCTAGCCGAGATATCAAGAATGCTGTTTTTAAAGGCACGTGGCGCTAAGATGAAATCAATTTGAGCGAAGCGGTCTGGGGACCAGGGGGCAGTAAAACCTTCAGTGGCTGTTTCTTTGAAAGTGCATTTTTTGCTAGTAGGTTTTAGGAACAACGTGTTCATGATCAGGAAATCTGCGAAAAGGCAAAAATCAATAAGTAGTTGTCGGTTCTCTTTTTGATCCTCTGGGAGTGATCCTACATGTTGAGCGCCATAACCAAAAACGTGGTGACCGATACATTGTTCTTCGACTTCATTAACGCAGCCGTGCAGGCGAGCATTTGCATCACCAAGAATGTAGGTTGGAGAATTTTGAGGACGGTCCATGATAATGTTTTGTAAAGTTTCCCAGTGATGATTTTTTTCTTCTTGCGGCCGTCCACTGTGTGGAGCGTATTGGCTAATAAAACTTAAATCGGGTCCATGATTGTGAAATTTGATTTGAATTAATCTACTACTGTATGGAATACAATCTTTCAATGCAGTCTGCAGCTTGGGGCCAACCACGAAACCAACGCCATGGTGTTCTGTCCCATTATTTTGCGCGTTCGCTTTGGCTTTTGCTTTTGGGATTTGTGGTTCTGGAGCTTGGGTTTTTTTGTTGACACTGGAACTAAAACGAAAGAGGTATTTTTGGTTACGAAAAACTTTAAGTTCTTCAATGGAGTGATTTATTTTCGTTTCTTGAAGGGCAATAAGATCAATTTTGTGCTGGTGCATTATTTCCATAATTTGCTCACGTTTACCCGCTTCGTTTAGGCCTCTGCAATTTAAAGTTGCAATGACAAAAGTCTGACCGTAAGGTAATGAGTTGGTGTGTACAAGTGTGTCAGGTTCACTGACCGGGGGTTTGGCAGGGTTCTGCCATTTTTTGTGACAAGTTTTTCTGATATGTTTTTCGATTTTCCGGTTCTCAGCTCTTGATTTCTGGCAGTTCCAAGCATGTATTACATTACGTTTGCAAGCATATTCTCTGAAATAGTTCCTGGTGCTTGAAGACTTGCTTCTGTTGTCGTGCTTTTTGTTCGCCTTAGATGAAATTTCTGGGTAGCCATACAGCCAGTTAGCTTCTTGAATTGCAACACCAGGCGAAGAGGTTGCAATCACCTTCCTCATCGCCTCGCTACCAGAACTTTTAATGTTACGCCATAAGCGTCTGTGAACTGAACGTGAAGTCTTCCATTCCAAATATCGGTGATATCTGGTCAATATATTCCGCCGACCCCGTTTGCCTTTGCAGCATCGAGGTGTGGTGTGGGAATGATTGGTAGCATGGTGGGGGCACGCATTCAGTTGACGCTGCCGTCCTAAAATGAACGGTGCTGTCATCCCGGCTCTCCTCTTGAAGGGGGGGTGTGGTTCTGATGAAAAAATGTGTTCACCCGATTCCTGTTTGCAAGAGGGCGCTGTGTGTTTGTTTGTTCCTAAAGGTTCTATCTGAGTTCGTGACTGTGTGTACGCAGACCCGACATCGACTCCGCATCGGGCACTTTTTTCTAGCAGATTTGGGCTTTCTATTTCTCAGAGCGAGTGAGTTGAACACTTTCTCCTGCGTCGTTTGTACCTTCAGGCAAGAAACTCATGAGCGGATTCTCTCAAACCCTGAAGATGAAGAGGACAATTCCGGAGCCGTCGTTGCGAATCTTGCGATGGCTTGTGGGTGCTTGGTCTGTTTCTACTGCCCTGCTGTGAAAGATACCAGGAGCTTGCCAACCTCAAGCAGTTCATGGCAGATCTGCCCCAGCTGAAGACAAAGTGAGCCCTTGGGCAAGTGCTGGCAGCCTGATAGCCATTGGGGCCAAGCAAGTTAGAAAGCATGACAAGTGACTAGTGTCTAACATCATTGAAATCAACATAGTGGGAACTGCGACAACTCGTGAAACGGATTTGGTCTGGGCCAGCTGTAGCTCTATCATAGTCTATGTATATACACATAAATGGGGTCGTGGACCTACGCACATACACTCGTTTGGAATTGTCGAACTGACCCGAACTGATGTTTGTTTTTAGCAGCTTTTCAATCTTCTGTGCCCAGACCCTGTGCAACGCTGTGAGATGATTTGACAGGCCGCTGATGCAAACAACCCGGCACATTCACACCCAAATCAACATGCTTCTTGGCTTTAGGCTTTATGTTGGCAAAGTGATAGACATGCTAGAAATGTCATGCTGGTTTGTGTATTTTTTGTTTCCAAGGGATGTGCAAGCCTTCTCGTTGCAGTTGGGGAATGAGTTTAGAATCCAAGATATGTAGGTGGCAAAGCTGTCTCTAAAACACGATGAATGTACTACACATATATAGTTATATTATTTTGCCGACGTAATTCTGCAGCGACCTTTTGCTCCTGACTTCCCTTTGCGAGCTTGTTTCACACAGTGCTGAGGCTAGCAGACTTCAGCTTCTTCATAGACAATGAGGCAGCAACTTTTTAAACTTCTGATGACTCACAAAGGTTCCAAGTGCATGCCCTTCCTTTCCCGAATGACGATGCTCGACTGTCTTCGAGCCCATACAATTTCTACAAGTGGTTTCTCACCTTTTTCATCCTTTTTCCCTGTTATTTTGTGTCGCATCTCTCTCTCTCTCTCTCGGGACACTTCCCTGTATGAGGTGGAACCGATTCTTCCACTTGTCATGGCTCAGTCCAGTTGCTTCAGCCCTCCAAGTAGCATCCCTCGAGCTGTTGCTGCTGCTGCTGCTGCTGATGCTGATGATGATGATGATGATGATGATCATCATCATGATGGCGGCGGCGACGACGACGACGACGACGCCGACGCCGATGCCGACGCCACTATGATCCGACTATAGATGCACTGTCTCATTTCGCGGGTGACCACAGAGGAGAACGATCATGTTCCTGCGCAGTGAACATCATCAGGTCGTCGAGCGTGCCTTTTCCTCGTTTGCTTGGCCATTGCAGATTCAGATTGATGTGGGCGATTCGGCCGGGTCCTCAGTACAGGTGCTTGTTGAGCATGTTGGATCTTCATCGGACGGAGCACAGGAATAAGAGCAAAAATATCTCGAAATATCTTGAATCTCTTTGAGACCTGAGCTTTGTATAGCTTTGTAAGGAGCGAAGTCTGGACTCTCAAAAGCAGAAGTTTATGGAAAAGCTGGATCGAGAGAAGACTGAGCAGCTTGGTCATATTCTGGACATTTGAGAACGCTGGTAGGTTTTCCTGGCCTGGATTTCAGTCCTCAGCACGACTCCTGTGCATGTTCAAGATGTTCAAGTTTCGCATGAGTTGGTGTGGAGTGTCTTCCAAGGTATGAGCGTGACATGGCAAGATACCAGGAGGATCTTGAGTGGGTCAAGAGTCTGCTGCTGGGCGGCATATTGAAATCAAGCTCAGCCAGTGCTAACCATCCTTGCAGGCGTTCTGGATGCTTTTGGTGTGTGCCCAGGAATGATTACTCTCTGGCCATGAAGTGTGCTCATCGAATCTACTCGTTGCGGGACTGTTCCTGTGGTGTCTCATACCCCCCCTTGCCCTTGCAGCAAAGAGACTTGTTACTTGGTACATCTTGGTCATTGGTTCACTATCCCTCTGGGTTTTACTTGACCATACTTGTTCATCTTGTTCCGTGATTGATCCAGAGAGTCTTCTGGCCTGTATCACAGGAGAACCTGGACCGTGCCAAAGAGCGGGTTCAGAGCTTTTTGGACCGCGAGCGCTTGTTTGGCTGGGCAGCCCAAGAACCACAGCTGACATCCGGTGGTCCCAAAAAGAAGTAAATTCAAAGACAAGAGATGACTCAGAGATGACAAGAGTGACAAACAGATCAAACGGCAAAGATTGGATGCAGCGAGAGATGAAACTGAGTCAAAATGGTGCAAAAAGCATTGATAATTAGTGTCTAGTCACCCATCCAATGATGTTTGCCGATCTGGAAACAGTGGTGGTTCCTACGGGGGACAGAGGCATGGACGTCTCAGACTACTCTGTGGTGGAGAATATGACTGAGGCACTTTGGCAATCTTTGGCACTTGTGTTCTGTCAGAGGTGTCTCATTCTTTGCTCGAAACCACTTCAGTTTCGCCTGCGCGGATCAATATTTCCTACACCTGATGCAACTTCATCAGCCTTCAAGCCTGCGCAGTTTGTAAAGTTGCTTAAGGCATTCGAACCATACTACAAGCTTTGGACCAGTGCCATTGACTTCAAGCACTCAGAGGCGAGTGGATTTGTCTGGATTCCCGAAAGTTGTACAAGGTGTATATGTATATGTATACATACCGTATATATTACATGTATTTACATATGAACTGTATATAGATATATTTATATATAATTATGTTGCAACATGTATGTGTAAGTGGATCCTATACGACGATACGACCTTCTCCTGTATTGAATTATCTCCCAGGAAGAGTGGCTGACTGGAATGGTGCAGAGACTGGTGGCGGAAGAAATCGAGACCGTCGTTGAAGATCAGCTGGAAACTGAGTTTTGGCAACTATGGCATTAGCCATGTGCTTGTTGTGACGAGTTGATGATCTTCATGGCGAAGGTACAAGGAGAGCTACAAGACCATCAAACAGTTCGAGGGAAATGAAAACCCTCTTGCTGTGGCCAAGGATCTGTGAGATTTGTCGGATTGTAGAGCAGTTCTTCTACAGTAGTTCTCAGTTCTTGAGTTTGCTGCACGAATTGTGGACGGCCCTGAGCTGGTGCAATGTCGAATCTCACACCCCGCTGAAGGACTTGCGCGAGGAGATTTCTTCTTTCCGCGCCAACATGTTCCTCTAACAAGCTTGGATAGCAAACAACTTCCCTTGTAGTTTGAACCGACAAAAGTATAGCGGATGAGAGCATAGGGTGCAGTCAAAGTGTGAAATGACAGAATGCCAGGCCTGTCATCCGCGCCCTATGTCAAGAGGCCAGTCTTTTTTCGATGAGTTTCTTTGTATTCAGGCTTATTTGAGCCATTTTGAGCCCCAATTCATCGAAACCAACCCTTCTTGAGTTCTTAACTAATTTCATTAGTCCTGTGAAAACACAAAATCGAGAGAGTTTTCTGAGAGGCATTCGAGCCACGACACTTTTCAGACCTGTTTGAAGAGCTGCGCTTGGACATGGACATGGAGGTGCCTTGGCCTCTGACATTGTGAGATTGCGGGGTCCTATGTGATGCTTTGTAGATCTGTCCTCAGCATTCAGCCATTTGTCCGCATTCCATGTGTGAAGGATGGCATCACCTTGCAGCAAATGCTCGAAGTTGGTATCCTGGACCACATTGACACCCTGGAGCGAATCAGTGTAAAGGCAACTCTTCTTGGCTTCAAATCTTGTTGGCTCGTTGAGCACTGCAGCTGCGAATTGATGAAAAGCTCTGCTGCTTTCCAGGCGCAGAAGGAACATGGGTTGAAGACTGCCCTGACCATGATGAAGAAAGAGCCAGAGCCTCTTTGTTTGGCAATGGATTTAGAACAAGCAATGATCCATTGGTAGGGTGTCTGAGATAGTGAGACAAGCAATTCTGTCACCGTCCACATGGTCAGGTGGAGGCCTATTGAATTTGGCTTGGTACCACACAGATCGGGCACGCACATGGTGAAGGGGATTGACGAGATTCAGGCACCGCCTTGTCAGACATTTCCAAGATGCAAGGGGATTCTTTTTATTTCGGCATGTAAACTGAAGCGCAAAGTGCAGAGGCAGTACTGGACGACCACATTGTGAAAACCATGGGCATTCGTGGTTCTCCCTTCGTCCGAAGCTGATGCAGAAGATCTCGCAAGAGAAGAAAATATATAGGCAGTACTGCTGAAGCCACAGCCTTGAACATTTTGAATCGTCAAATGCTGAGCAAACTGCGCAATACTCCATCATTTTGATCCCGAGGTGGAGCCAATTGAGAAGGAGGTCAAGGAGAAGCTGAGAAGATAAAACAGATTCTTAAGACATTGATCAATGATGCCTTCGTGCCTCCCACATATGAATACAGTATACATATGGTAGATCCGACATACCGACATACAGTCTTTGAAAGCTTTGAAGATTGAGGACTGGTTGGCAAAGCTGACACTCATCCAAGACCTCCTGGAGCAATGGCTGGCCATGCAGCGTTCATGGCTGTACCTTGAGCCACTTTCTCAGATGTCCTTCCAAAGTGAGCAAAGATCAGAATAATTTTATTCACGTTGTTCTCAGATCATGTCTTATTGGCAAATTTGTATAAATTTGTTGGCTACATGGCACAGAGGAGGGACACTTGATGTAGAAAACACATGAAAACACCTTCATGGCCTCGAAGCAAGGCCCATTTTCACCTCTGACGACATCCAGAAGCAGTTGCCAGGGGAAGCCAAGAGGTTTCAACAGGCACAAGGGCCATTTGCGGGCATCCTACAGATGCGTCCACCTAAGGAGATACAACCTCTCATCAACCTTCTTCAAAGTGGGTCCTGAAGCAGGGTTCTGGTGCTAGACAACCATAGTGTGTGTTTGAACCCCAAGCTCCTCCTGCTCCATGGCAGGTAGATGTTCTTTGGCGCAGCACCATGGAGACCGTGTCCGAAAACCCCAACGTTCTGGATGTCCCGGCCTTCAATAAGACTGGAACACAGTGTTCTCGATGTTTACTACTTGCAACACATTTTGTCATCATGTTGTGATTCGTCGCTTGAGAGCCCAAAGAGAAAGACACCACATTTCACTCGAATTGCAGGTTTCAGAGATCGAGAACCTTCTGGCAAGCTTTGTGGATGCAAACAAAAAATTGGATGCGATCCAGAAAGGCAAGGGTGATCAGACTGATTCAATTAAGGCAATTTCATTACTTGTTCATCAAGCTACCTGAATCATGCAAGATGGTGTTTTTGCCTGAAACAAAGCAAAGTGCAAAAGACTATGTGTTGCAGGACTCAACCAGTACCTAGAGAAGAAGCGCTTGGACTTCCCACGGTTCTTTTTCCTCTCCAATGACCGGAGTGGGGAAGTCTCCGTGGACGGTACTTTACTTTCCTTGTGCTCCTCAATATCATGCTTTGCCCATGAAAGGCTTTTTAATTTGAACAACTGGAGACTGGCAGTCTTGGTTGGTCAATCGATCGAAGGACGAACTTTTGATGATTCTTTCTCAGACGAAAGACCCAACAGCTGTGATCTCCTGAGATTACCTCTGACCAAAACCAGGACAGAAAGAAAGGAAAGGAAGTCTTAAGGGAAGTCTTAAAGGAAGTCCTAAAGGAAGGTTGAAAAGGTTGAATCAAAGTTGAATCAGTTGAGCCATTGGCTGCTTGAGGTCCAACCTCACATGGGAAAGTGCTTCGAAGGTTCGCCCGCTTGCGAATTCAGTGTACAGTGTAGCTGTGTACAGTGTAGCCGTGTACACTCAGCAGACTTCGGGAATTTGTGCCGGATATCAGTTGGGGCAGTTTGTTGTACCAATTGAATCAATATTTCAATATTTTCAATCAACATTGATTCTGGGTCAATTTGACATGCCAGGAATCAGCAGGGTCCGCTTCAACAAGACGAATGAAATCATTGAAGCAATGGCGCACTAAGCCCAGCAATTTACTGTCAGAAGATGTGCAAGCAGACTACAGATCCATGCCTCTTAACAGATCTATATGTAATTATATGTCTGTATATATATATGATTGTATCATAATTGTATCATTATGAATACTTATATACATATACATATCAATTTCTGCATACAGCAACTCAAGGTCAGTGGAGGGGGAAGTGGTTGATTTGGCTCTGCCAGTGAACGTGGTTGAAGGGGAGAAGTTGAGCGCTGAGAAATGCACAGCTGGCTTTCATGTGTGATTGCCACGAATCCAAAAGAGTCTTCTTTGACTCAACAGGATCAATGCGTTTTTCAAGTCAACTCAGAATGCAATATGATTTCCCCGAGATATGTTTGGCACCAAGGAAAGGAAATGTAGAGAAGTGGCTCATGGAAGTGCAAGGTTCTGCTGACATGGTTGACATGTTTGAAATGAAGACGACGGATGCGACATTTCATGCAGATATGAAGTGACTCCTGAATCCAAACGTATTTTCAACGCGTCCGTCTTGTTCCCTGTCTTTCTCAAACCTGACAGAACTGCCAACAGGATCAATGATTGACTCACTCACAAAAGTCACAGCTGCTTCTCTATTGGCATATGCGAAGAACGAGCGCAGGGGCCTCAAAATCTCTCTTATTGTCATGTTAGCACTGGGACATTTCAATGGCACAACTACTGTTCAGCACTTGGTCCTACCCATTTCGGCTCTGCTAAGTGACCACATAGCCTAAAGAGCAAGAGAATTCATATCTATCTATCTATCTATATATATATATATATCTTGTTTTTTTGCTGAGATTGTTGCAGCAGATTCAAGCATTGGCCAGTGAAAACGTGCGGAAACGCAAAATGCCAATCCCACCTCCAGACATCTTCACACAAGCTGTTGCTATGAAATCTTCTTTGATCATTTTTGCAATGATGGCCACCTCTTGCTGGTGATGGAAGCATTGGAAGCAGATGACGTGGTGGATGTGTGCGTGATAGGTTCCGGCATGACATATCCTTGACATGACCTCAGTGTTTCTTATTCAAGAAGGTTAAGAGCAAAGGGCAGAGCTCCCTGTTTCTCTTTGAATTTGAGGGAGATTTTGTATGTTGCTGTGACACAATTCGATTGGCCCAAAACTTCAACAGAGGACGTTTCTCGCAAGTGTTAAAGTTGAATACTTGGAACTTCACTATGTCAAACAACTTTAGTAAACTTTAGTCCTTTTCGTTTGTATGGACTAAGTCTGAGTCGATGCGCAGGGCATGAAACCTTCCTTTCTCTCAATTTGTTCACAGGTGCTGGCCTTGCTGGACTCACGGCACTGGAAAGGCTCTCTGCGGCTGGCCTAAAGTGCATCCTACTGGAGGCATCCTCTTCACCAGGAGGACCATCATGATACCATTTTTAATACCATGATGATGCAAGGTTTTCAAAGAATTGCGACGCTAAGATGTTCCTGGCTTGTGGCATTCGGCCAGGATTTAGAAAATCTGTCCTTGTTTCGCAGGAGTGAAAAAGCTACTATCAGAGCTTAGATCTGTCGAATACTAGAGACAATCGTTTTCTCTTAAAAGTTTTATAGCTCATCTGGTGCAAGGAAGGCTGCGTGGCCGGTTCTTTTGCGGCCGCTGGGTCGAGGAAGGCCTGGTAATTTTACTCAGTGTGGGATCGGTAGAGATCCGTTTGCCGCCTTCAGCCACCAGGAGCCAACTGGGTGCAAGGCTTGGGCACGAATCCAGTTTGGCAGAAAGTCCAGCAACGCAGCTGCACCGTAGCTTTGAACACGACGTTTCGACCGAATAAACAAACTCTTTACCATGCGATCTACCTGAATCTACCTTGGAATTTGAGGTGCTCTCTGAAGGGGCGATATGAAGCAGGTGAAGACAGAAGATGGGAGCGAGAACAAGGTAGACTCGAAAGACCGTGTGAGTTTTCGTGGCCTTGGAAAAGCAGGGCCAGAAGCTGCTCAGCTTGACATGATTGACATGGGCCCGTGAAATTGTGGTTTATTCCGCTGTGAGGTGTCATGAAAGAACTGTTCCCTTGAGTGAGATGAGTGAGTACTTTTTTTCCAGAGGATTTGGCTGGAAATCAGATTATTGTCCAGTCTTTTTTGTACTGTGCGGGTTGCATTTTTCAGGATTATGCTCAATTTGATTCGGGTCTAGTCCAAGTCCGAGAAACACATGCTATCGCCACTGTGTTGTGGACATTGATCGATTTGCTGGTTGATGACTTGCTGTTTTCTTAAAATCCTCAGTATGCCTCAAAGATCCTCAGAGCACTTGTGCAGCAAGGACATGACAAAGGAAGCAACGGAGCGCACAAAGGTGGCTTGGCTGCCAGCATGGTATTTTTGTGACTTTGTGACAGAAATGGATTTGAATCTGTCGAGATGTTTGGCTGAAATGGATTCTGTATCGTGGGACGATCTTACTTTCGGGTTTCCATGTTTACATAGGACACATCCACTTAGTGCAGATAGTATTACTGATCTCCGCCCATCGCAAGAAGATTGGCTTGGAAGTCCGCCCTGTCAAACTTCCCTATGAATCTTCCAGTTGAAAGGCCTTTGAGAAAGCAATGAGTTTGGTTAGGCTCTCAGCTGCAAAAAATCAGACCAGGTGGCATTTGAGGGGAAAATGATGGAAAATGGACATTCTGAAATTCTTCTGTCGGAACATGAAATCAACACGACTTTGTCTTCTGCGATACTCTTTGTCATAAGCCTCTTTAAGCACATCGGCAGTGGGACCAGAGGAATCTTTTGTTGCCATGTGCATCAGAATTGGCTCAGGTGGAGGATGAAGAAAGTGGAGAGGGTGGTCCTGACGGTCCTGACCAGGATTTGGCACAAGCACTGGCACAGCAAGGCTCTCTACCTGGAGTCCACGATTTTCGCTGCTGATAAATCTGCAAATTAGAGGTAGTTGATAAACCGATGGACTATTTTGTTTCCGGATGATGCTAGAGAAGCCTTGAAGGAATGCAAAAATATGCCAGTGTGTCATGAAGTGATGCTCTTCAGTAAAATTCACCTCGGTGTGGATTTAAGCAGAACATCACCGAAAGGAAATGGCCTTGCTGTCAAAAAGAGGTTGGGTACCAGCGTCTTCACCTATTGACATGGCCATTGAGTTCAGAGAGATTGACTTTGAGTACGGTGAGAGTGACCAGCTTAGTCATGAAACAAACTCCGAATCATTTACAACCACATCAACTCTTGCCTCAAAGGGCAGCTTAAGACTTAAGGCTCTACACCAAATGCCTGGAAAGCCGCTTCCAACTCTTGTTTTGCAAGGTCCAGAAAAGGTTTCCGTGCAGCACAACGTCCATGGTGAGTTTACATGGGACGACTTTGGCCCAAGCCTTGGGATTTGTGAACGCAAAGTGTGTGGAAAAAAACATGGTAGACACGGATGGAATGTGTTTTCCTCTCGCAAAAAGTGAAACCAACAGGAAAGAACCCTAGTCAATGACTCACCTGAAACCTGTCAAGGTCCAGATTCCTTCTTCGTGGATGATTGCCGTGGGTTGGCTTCAATTTGTCCTGAAGTGCCAGAAGGACTGATTTCCTTTTGGATGGATCCCACAAAATTTCCTGTGCTGTGCTTGTAACATCCTTTACCACAAATCATCAGATTCAGAGACACTCAAAGTCCAATCTTCCTGTTCTTCAGCCTCTGAGATCGAGCCTTTATCGCATTGCAATCCTCCCGCATGGCCGCACAAGTACAAAGGCCAATAGAGAGCAAGAATCAGAGAGCCTAGGCAAGCAGCAGCATATGTCATGTGCAGGGCTGCCTACCCTGTTTCAATGCACAGATATGCGAGAGCCAAAGAAGTCAGTCGGGCTCTGACTCACACGATTCCCTTCCAGAGGGGAGGTCACAGTCTTCAAAGAGTTCACGCTAAGATTGGTCCCTTTCAGCCGCCAGAGGGACGACGGTTCTCTTCGTGGAGTGATGAAGTGCAAGCTAGCAGGCGCCTAGTTCAAGCCGTGCAACTCTTTCCAGGCTGGCAGCAAACCTGCACCATAGGATGCAAAACAGATATGTAAGCTGGCACAAACACAGAGGAAGTTGGACTGACTCATCCAAAGAACTGACATGACACCCCAGCCCCGAAAGTCTATTTCTCCATGGACTTCTTAAAGATCATCCGGAGAGGAGATGTTTTCTGGGTGATGAGCGCCAGCCAATGGTCTCGGTTTCTTTGAAGGCTTTGGTACGCTTACTTTATGTGTCAGGCACAACAGAGCAAGCCCAAGAAGCTCTGACACAGCTTCAAGGGCTCTGGCTCTGCCATGATGCTGGCAGCCGCCCAGAAGCTTTTGCAGTTTCTCCACGAACCGTACATGCAGCATGTCACTCGAATTTGTTTTGGACACTCTTTATTTTCCTTCATTTTTGATTGCCTTTGCCACGAAAGAGACTTGAGCAGAGAGATTGTTTTGGCAACAGCCTCATTCTAGGCATATGTATTCACGCAGGGCTGCTGCGGGCAGAGGCCGAACAAGTGCTGAGATGGCTGGCTGCTGAGATTGTCTCGCGATTAGCCGCGTTTCGTCCGGGCACAGGAGTTGCAGGAACAGCCTACGTCAGTGTCCTCCAGAAGGAACCATGCGCAAAACAGCTGATGCCACTTGTGGAAGAACACCTTTTGCAACTTTCTCCAAGATCTCGAGTGCTGACACCAAGGGGAATTGCAAACTTGGTGAGCCTGCTGTATGGGAACCTAACAGACCGAACAACAGGCCCTGGCTTGACACACCTTCGTGACCTGGCTGCTTGCCATTTGAGCTCATTCCAGGCTGCGGAACTGTTGGATCTCGCGTCTGGCCTTGCAAGTTGCAAGAAGTTGAATGACGACTTCTTGTGTGAAATTCGTAGAGCAGTGGACCTCGCAGCTTCGGCTCCACTCGAAAGCCACCAGAACGACCTGAATCTGACAAGAACGAATTCTGTCAGTCATTTGCCTCAAATCCTTGCACAGTTCTTTGAGACTCTATTGATATCAAAACCTGCTGGGTGGTCTTGTGCAACTGGTGGCAGTGCCAAGATCTACGGCGTACCTCGCCTGTCCGAGTTTTTGGAAGCTTTCAAGCAGTTTCCAGTGTTCCAAGACCCTTTTGCGGACAATGGCTTGGCACACAGATTGGATGTTGAGACTAGTGGTGCCATGCTTGTAGGCACAACATTTCGAAGCTATTGGAGGCTGCGCTTGGAATTTGCCGCGCAAGAAGTGAAACGACAATACTTGGCAGTCGTCCATGGAACAGTTTTGCCTCTCCAGATCGAGAGGGAACTCGATCTGCCTCTGAAGATAACTCGAGTTCCACGAACGCGCTCCGACCACTTCAGCAACTCAAGCTACTCTCCACACTCTCCACACTCTCCACACTCGGTTCAATCCAAGTCAGCAGTCTGCTTTGAGGCTGGAAGGCCTGGAGCATCCTGGAGCATTGAAAGTGGCAAAGGCAAATGTTTGAAATGCGGTGCAACTTAAACTAGCCGTAGCTAGCCTGTTTGACATTATTTGTCTTGGATTCGTCTTTATCTTTGACTTGACGCTTTTCAAACATGTTTAGTTGCTGAACTTGTGGTCATGGACAAATCAAGTCGAATAGTAGATTATATATACATATATATATATATGTATATACAAGATGGATAGCTGATGGGGAAACTAAGCAGCTTAGAGCTTGAACATCATTAATTTGTTGTGCGAAAGGTAGAGTACGGGCATGTCTGGTGCATGGTTTAGGTGAGCTCTGAAGGGCATGCTTCAACCACAAATAAAAACGAGAGATACTGTAGCCATCTGTAGCCATCTGTAGCCTTGTGGCTTCATGCGCTTGTCTCAGAAAATCTAGTCAAGTGATCCGATTTGCCGCATTGGTTTCGCTAGTCACTGCCTCCGCTGTTTTACCATGTGGTGCAAGCCGGAGTTGGCTCTTAAGACAGAAATGTTTCGTCATCATGGTGAGGCCTCAAAGTTCAGAACTATACATTGTGATGTAGTATGTTTGCAGAGCGTTGTAGTACATTGACGGACATGTCCAGTGTCGCACATCGAAGCGCATCGCGAACGTTGCATTCCTTCGAAGCACGTGGCAGTTCATATGCTATGGTAGCTATACTTAATTTCCGCGCTTGTAGCATGTATGAATTTGTAAATGTCAACACATTCAGAATAAGGAACTCTGCGAAGACACCATCGTAAAACAAGTACCCCTTCCCCGCAAGTTCAAGCTCGTGTCTCAAAATATGTCACCCAAACGCTGAAACCACTCTCCTCCTCTGATCTTCCTTGTTCTATCTGATGTTTGGAAAACTTCTCAGCTCGCAAAGACAAACAAATCGAAGGACTCTGCTGGCTGTTCTGTCTGATTCTGTCCTTGTTCTGTGCTGTACATTGTTTCTTGCCAGGCCTTCAAGAACCTATGTAAGACCAATTGCGCATTTGAGATCGGCAGAGAATGGAGACTTGGTAGGTGATTAAAGCGCAATCCAGGACATCGCTAGCTATAAGTCTGGCTTGAGACATTCTGCTTTTATTTCTCACTTTTTTAGCTGTCAAATGGATTCTGGTGTCCTTTCTGATACTGCTTTCGTTAAGGAGATATGACCTTGCTGTTAGCTGAGCCTCAGACGGGAAGGACACACCAAATTCGTAGTCACCTCGCCCACTTTGGTCATCCGATCGTTGCTTGCCTGGCTGCCCACTTCTATGTGTTTCCTCTGATTTTAAAGTTAGGAATTCTTCATTTGGCTTTGTTTCTAATCAAGGCGCAACTAATCCCAACAGATGCCAATTTTAATCTCACCGACATCAGGTTGGCGATAGTCTGTATCGGCAAGACTCCCAGAAGCTGAGACAGGTGGATCGGCTCTTTCTTCATTGTGCTGCACTGTCCTTTCGGGAGCCTTTTCCGATGAGAGCCTTGGGTTCCTAACAATCTTTTGTTGTTGGTGTTTTTTTGACTGTTTCTGTCCCCGGAGTTTTCCTCTCAGCTAAACTGCCAACTTACTTTTACTTCTGAGTTGACCAAGGCCCGGAAAGGCATGAACCCCCGGTTCGATCAACTGCAGCACCTATGCCAGCAGAAATGTCTTCGTTCATTCTACACTTAGAAGCGCAAGACGGGGATTCAGAGCGATTGAAAGCGGAAGTGCTATCGCGTAGTCCTGGTTGGACCTCGTGAATGTTGTAGGTCAACAATACAAGATTTCAACCTCCAACATGGCAAATGCCTCGAAGCCATGACTCAGACATATGCCCGGGAAACTATCATAAGAAGTACAAATGCATGAGGTTCGCTTGCCACACACGTGGTACGAGGTTGAGCCTTTCCTGGTTTGCTGATCCTTCTTCCATGAGCTTTAGAACTTGAGATGAAGCTCTTGTTACACAACTTACTATGCATCGGACGGACTGCTGCAATACGTTTTCCTTTGTTCGACCTTTGCAAGAGGCAATTGGAAACAGGAGAGCAGGGTGCACTGAGATCAAGACTGGGCAATTGCTTGCAGTACACATCGCTAAAAGCAAAAAAGTGCTTTGATGACGTTTGACAGACCTCCGGGCGGTAGAAGAGGGCGGTGATTCTGGACTGGACTAGTATAATGCCACGGATTCATTCCGGTCTCCTGTACCTTTGTGCTGTGGACTTTCAGGAGTTGGATCGTACTACAACTGTATCGTCGAGGAGCTTATCCAGTTGCCTGATTGCGTACAGGTCGCCCTCGCTTGATTTACAACTGACGCTGAATTTGTCACGTCTCTTTTGAGGCTGAGTGCGTCAGTTCTTCGCCAGGTCCAATGCAAGGATGGGTTCAAGGTCTGGAGTCGAGTGGCACTTTGCACGGCTACTTGGATGCTGCAATTCTGAGATTGGTGGGTTCTTTATCATGAGCGCAAATGTCAAGGAGTGTTCTGATGGCTTGAGGTGAGTGTTGGTGTCCTAAATGCTCGGGACATTCTCTTTGATCCACCTCTGCCACTCCCTATGCAAGATGCATTGAACTCAATGAGTCCTTGCTGCAATGCATTTCTTAAAGCTCTTAAGCTTTCATTGTGCTATCCTTGTGAGGGGTAGGTCAGAGCTTGGAAGACATGTATTACTTTGTGCGTGGCTTGTGTTTTGCTTTATTTTTTTTGGGATCTTATTTTAGAAATATTTCCGAATTTCGAGCTTCTTTGCCTCCTGAAAACGCAAAGGACTATGTGCAATTATACAAAGACATTTGTGAAGTTGGAGTCTGCCTTATGGGTGGCTCGGTATGCTCATCATTGGCGGTCCGTGAAATTTGCAAGGTAAAAGGTTTAGCTGACGAACAAAGTTTATTCTGTCAGAAGTTTCCAATGGACATTCGTATCAAGGCTTCTAAATTTAAGTCTCAACTTATGCCGATAATGTATGGGACAGCGTTCTGGCTCTCGAATGGTGCATTTTATCTTTGGATGTGGTGTGGTTGGGAAAGCAAGTATCTCAAGTCTCTATTGTGAGATGGTCAAGGGAAGCCAAAGCCTTGTGCTGCCATTTGCAACATTAGAGCTGGACGTTTACTACTGTATTGGAAGCTGCACAGGTATGTCGTAGGAGTTGTTGTGTGAGACTCAAAGGCAGGGGCAGACACATATATATATATATGTTACATGCGTAAAATTCTTTGATCTGTGGTACAAGGTCGATGACGAGCAGTACGTTATCAGGGTTGGAAAACCACGCGGACGGCACGTGGCAGGAGTCTCAGAGATCGAGTTATCATACAAAAGTAACACTGTGACTGCAAAGAGCAATTTTGAAGCAGCCTAATATGATGCAATATGCATAATTTTCTTGTGATCCAGGAGCTTCAGCTGCGATTTGTTTCAAAGCGGCCATGTTGTTTGCCACGCTGGTTCTGCCATGCAGGTGTGGCAACCGCTAGCACCTGATTTGGTCATAGTCACAAACACTGGGGATGAGGGCAGGCGGGTGGAAAAGCTTGACCCCGAGGACTGGATGACTTCAATGACCTTTTTGCACGGAAGACTTTTTTGCAAATCCCTCTGCACTCTTTCTATGATTCTTTATGATCTCACAATCAATCACAACAAACTGCAATGCTTCACTATCTTTACTCTTTTCATGAACGGCTCCTGTAGTGCTGCTACTTTGCCTTGCAAAAACCACGCGGGATCATTTGGCGCTGTGGGTTCGCTGGGAAAGCTGGTGTGTCTCAGGAGCTTAAAAGGGAGCTAGAAGGATGTTTGTCAGAAACTGGGCAAGTGAATTGGTTTTCAGAAACTCATGTGGTAAACCCAATGCCATAAATAAACCATCCCCAACATTGCCAGAAATGGATGTAATTTTGGTGGTCTACACTTATTAGGGGCATTTAGGGGTGCACAGTTTGCACAGTTTGCACATTTTGCACAGTTTGCATAGTTTGCACTTTGGTCAGTTCATGTCAGTTCTGCATTCTCTCTCTCTCTCTCTGAGTGGGGTTGCCAGGAAATGTACGAAAGACCTCCCAACATCCTGGTGGCCGAGGTCTGATCAAAATCAAACCCGCAACATTTTCAGACTTTGTGAATCGTTGTGAGTTGTTTCTAGTTCTTATATGTTACTATTAACTTATTTTTGTTTTGAGTTGTTTATGTTTGTTTCCCTTTTTCAGAGTTTTGTTTTCGTTTGCAGAGTTTGTAGTTTCAGAACTTATTTTTGTCTTGCTTGGAAGGCGACCAAATGGTCTTCGGATCCTCGATTCAGAGGTTCCTATTCATTTTTGCCTACTGGATCTATGCCTGACGGCTGGGATGTGGTGAACGAGAGACATGGAAGGTCTGGACATGGACGATGCGTGTGCCATCATGCTTTGATGTATAGAGAACCAGTAGTAGGTGTGCAAGACAAGATTAAGATATGAAAAGATATGAAAAGATGATTGGGAGAGCCAGAGCATCTGGGGTCCAGCTAGAGTAGACAGAGATGTCTGAGTCTAATGGGACAGATAGAAAGGAGTTGCACCAGATGGAATACCTGAACAGCAGTGGTCGTGAGAAAGACAGGCTTTTCTTTGGTGGAGAAGCTTTCCATCCTCGTTGGTCCGGCTACATGCAAGGACATTGTCTGTTTTGTTTGAATAGATGGTCCCTATCCAATAAAGCTCCTGGATATATGATATACTATATTTGCCAACGAGAAACGCGGGTAGGTGCTGCTTTGATGCAAAAGGAGCAATTGGTTCTGGAGAAGATTCGGCTGACGCCATTCTGCAGTTCTTGGGTCTGAAGCAAGAGGATGCAAGAAGCGAGAAAGATAAAACACAGCCGTCGCTGATATATCATGGTAGATCAAACGAATCAAGCAGCTGCAATGGCCGCAATCAAGTGGGAAATGCCGTCGCGCAACTCCTAAGAGAAAGCAGACACTAAGCACATGCTGAGGCACGAAGTGGGTCTTGGAATGGCCCGGACAGGCGCGGCTGAATGTGACAGCGACATACAGCAACAATGGCAACGTGCTTCCAGTGTGCAGGTGGTCATTTGCATTGACAACATCTACTGGACACAGGAGGTTGCTGCTGCAATCGAGCCTTGACCTGAGCAGCGAGATAGGCAACTTGACCTGAGCATACCTGAGCTGCATTCACTGCATTCACTGCATTCACTTGGTGACAGTGTAAGGTCTGGCAAATTGGAGGAGTATCACCAGAAGTCTGTAGGCAAACTAACCTGCCATTCTTCGTGAGATACCTGTCTCTGTAGATGGTGAGAACCTTTGCTCTCTGCTCTTGCCTCTACTTCGTACCACTCATGCCCTAAGCTCGGAAGTAAACCTGATGGTACGATGGCCTCAAGGCTGAAGTTTATAAAGGTGTTGGCATTGCATTGGATGCTGTTTGATGTGTTTGACTGTGCAACTGTGCTGACGTAACACTCCTTTCCAATGTCTTGCCAGACCAACTGACCGGCTTGGTGAACTTGGTGCGTGGTGACCTCTCCAAGCTGGGCAGGTGCGCAAACCAAAGTCATGTAAAAAATGTAAAACACAAGTTTAAATGGTTAAATGATGTTAAATGGTTCAAGAAGACCCGTAATGGCCCATGCTGCCCATGCTCAAAAAGGGTCGGTTCACTATCTGGGGCAACATGAGTCTTCACAGAGGGTATCATGTGAAACAATAGAAATAAGGGACTCGCACTGAGTTTGGGCTAGCGCCTGTATATGCTTTTGATGCGAAGGCAAACGCTGGGAGCGTTGGTCACCATTGATGTGCACAATCGCGATGTTGTTGTCGGCTTAGAAGTGGAGATTCAACATATTTTCGTCACATGATTCAACAAATGCTTTTTCATCAGCAGCCTAGAGGGTTTGTCATGCCCAAGTGCCATCGCCCAGGTTCACAGCCTGAAAGATGCCAAAATTTCATCTTCCAAGGTTGAGAGCTGAGTTGGATGCCAATCTTCTGTCACCGCAGATATTTTCTAAACGGTGAGGATAAGATGTACTCTTTGCATCTCTTTGCATTGTCTTCCACTGCGAAATTGCGAGATTCGTTGAGATTCCCTCTCAAGCACACTTCACACTTTTATGATCTTTTATGAGCAGTTGAACTGGTGTGCCTTGGGAGGAATTTGACTGGATCGCACAATTGCGATACTACTGGCGTCAGAAGGGTTCCATCACCCTCAAGGTGCGGACGACACGCAGCAGGTAGTTTCTGTGGGGACCATCACGCAGGGGGGTGACAATTGGGACACCCTAGGATTCTGATGGATTCTGCTATCTCCAGGGTAGATGTCCACACTCCTGACTTCGGTTTGCGAAGAATTCGGAGGACACTGGGAAGGCAAGCACAGTGGACAAATGCGAGGCCCGATGAGTGTGCAGTGGACGTTTTTCCGAGCCTATGAGATGCCAAATTTCAACTTTCCTGACATGTTCACACTGCAGGTCTCCATCATCAATGCAACGTTGTACTATGGCTTCGAATACCTGGGGAACAGCGATAGTTCCTGGCCTCAAAATGGCA